TGAATACTGTGTGCAGTTATGATCCCTTGATCTTGAACTACTGGAAAAGCCACAGTTTTCTGAGAAAAACTGGTTAGTAATAGGAATGATCAAAGATGTAAAACGGAAAAAAAAAAAAAAAAGAAAAAAGAAAAAGAAAAAAACATCTGGATAGGCTGGGACTCTATTCTGAGAAAGAAACAACACAATAAAGTATAAAATCATGTGGCATGGAGCAGATGGATAGGTGTTCACTCTTCCAATTCAAGAATGGGGGGCTGTCAAGTAGAGTTACAGGGAACAGGGTCAAGAGAAAAGGAACAGTTTTCTTCTTCCAAGTGGTGATAGCCTTATGGAAGCTAGCACCAAAAGTTACTGCAGATGCTGGTGCTGTGGATGAGAAATTGGTCAAATACTTGAGAGAAAGATCTATGGAAGGCTACTACCTAAAGGAATCATGTCAAACTTGTGTGACTCATGAACTGAAAATAGTCAGAGTGTGGGAAAGCACCCAGAGGAAGAATTCTTGCACTGTTCTTCTCTTTCCTTGGACAGCTGCTTTTGATCACTGCTGTAGAAAGAAAACTGGGTTGGGTGGACCTTTGGTCTGAACTGGTGGAGCTGTTTAGTTGGGAATGCAGGCAGCTACTCAACAGGCAGCTACATGACATATGCTAACCTGAGGAGCTGAACGATACCCGAGCTGGCTTTAAATGAGCTACCTCAGATGCCAGTAGCAGCCTGTCCTCTGGCTGCACGGAGAGCTCATCCTCTCAGTGGCATCAATTAGCCTGTGCTGAGTTTCTTGCTGTCATCACTGGGATGTTCCCAGTACTAAGCTAGTTTATATAAAAGTATTGCTATGCCACACTACTATTTGCTGTGTGGGCATACCCACTGTCTGAGTGGGCATGTTGGTGCACCAGTTCTTTTGGCAGAGCCTACAGATAGGAAGTTGCTAAATTCTCAAAAGCAGAAAAAAAGGATTCCAGCTTCAACTCTCAGTTTATTTCCATTTTATATTTATTAATTTCGCAGTTCTAATAATTTTTCTGAATGTCAGCTCTAGTACACTTAGCTTGGGGTCTGAAAATCCTTAGGATTTGTTTGGTTTTTTGGTTCATGCATCACCAATAGTAAAGATACACAGCCAGAACTGATGCTGTATCAAGAATAAACTCCAGTGTATTGTCTTTTAACTGTGATGGATTTGAAGATCTAATAGTACTGAAAATTAGTAAATAACTGTTTTTATCACTAAACTCAGCACTTCTGACTCAGTGTCTACTAAGGAAATGAACTTTCGATAACAGGATTTAAAAATAATATTATCCCCCTTTATCTTAAAAAGGAATTATGTCTACTATATAAATGAAAATATTATATCGGTGGCATTACAAAAAAATGAAGAATATTACTAAGTACTTAGGTAAATTCATATTCTTGCACATTTTAATCATGTGATTCTCAGGGTCTCCAGTTGGGGGCACTGGGCAAACATAGAAACATGGCAATGGCCAGCGTGGGTGAGACTTGTACATAGTCCAATATTGTGCTGAAGGGGAAAAAAAAAAAAAAAAGCCTAAGAAAAATGGATGTGAGATACAGTTGTCATTCTGGATTCAAGAATCTTTTAAGGTGAAGGGGACTTTGTTTTCAAAACTCTTTTGCTACTACCAAACAACTGTATTGTTTTATTTTCATTACCCATAAATCATCTAGTTTCTTTTGCAGAACAAAGAATCAGTGATTTTAAAACTATCCCCTTGATCAATAACTTCAAATTCTAATGGGCCCAGGTGGAAAAGTTAATGTAAATTTAAATTTGTTACCGTTCAGTTTCATTAAATGTTTCAAGCCTAACATAAATAATTGGCTCTACGTACCTTCAATATTGCTATTTATTCATTATCAAGGGAAGAGACAGAAAAACAAATTACAAGATGCTCTTTAGTCATGAACAGTGTAAAGCCCAGCATGATTTAAGGTCTGCTTGAATCTGCACACACACAGATTTAGCATCTAGAAGAAGACCTAAGAGAAGATACAACATATTATTTTGTTCAAGGAATATCAATTATGCTATTATGAATATGTCATAGAGAGCAATGGTGGTTTCATGGTTTCAACTCATACCATTTAATGAAAATAAATATAAAATGTCAGTTCAGGAATTCATAGCCCTAATTCTGTTGATGAGGTTTTCTAAAACAGGCCGGGCACATGATTTATAAATTTACCAAATTAGAAGTGAGTCAGATATTCAAAAGTAAAATTCTATAAAACCTAGAGGAGAATGCGTGAGAGGGTGAATACATGTATTGGGACTGCACATCTGTAAATGGATGTACCAATAAGGAAAGTAAGCATTCAACACTGCCAAGCTCATAGTAGCCTAGATCTTCCTTCCAGCTGATATTTTTAACAAGATTTTGCAATAGTGCAATGGATTTCCTGGTCCCTGGAGCTCCTAGACTTCCATCTGACCCCTGTAGTAGAAGTTATGACTGCTTGCAAAGGATTGAAGCCAAAAGTTTTTGTCCACATAACTGGCTGTCAAAACACAGGGACTTCTGTCTGGGTGTAGATACTTAGTTTTGGAAAGGCAGGATAGAACATTTTGTTCATCTTTCCTCATGCTTCTCCACGCACACACCCGCACAAACACATGCACACACACTGACACACGGAGAAAAAAACCAAAGCCCTAATCATGCTATACTTTTTTTCCATGTAACCATAGAAAGCAATCTATAAATATTAAAGCTTCACAGCAGCAAAAGCATTAAACCCATTAGGTAATCAGAAAGCTGAAATAACTATCAGCTGGTCCGTTGCAAGGTTAGGAAAGGTTCAGGAGTTCTAATTTCCAGTCCTTTAATCTAAGCCCTAGGCCACGAATAAGAAATTAGCCTGGAATTTATGATCAACCTTGTAGTAACAAAACTTTGTTTATACCTTGACAAGCAGTGAACAGTAACAATTCCACTTTAAAAGACATTTATTTTTGCAAACCTATAAAACATGTTTGCTTTTTAATATCTCCGTGTTGTTTTAAGAAAATGAACTTGCTCCTGGACCTTGAAACTCAGAATGAATTAAATGACACGTGAATAAATATATATTAATTCTTTTTTATTAAAGTATCAAAACAAACTTGAGAATAGAAAACAAACTGCTTTTAATGCATTTTAAGGGTTCTCCTGAATAAAGTATATTTTTAGAAAACTCATGCAACATACTACTCCTGTCTAGCTGTTTAAACACTGTTTTCCTGGGCACAGTCAAATGAACTTGAGGACCATAATTTCTAGAGTAGCGTGCAGGAGCACGCATGCACACACACACATACAAAAGCAGTAGAAAGCAGCTATGACTGCACATATAAAGAAATAAAAATAGATTATCTTCTGACAATAGGAGTGGTACCATATTAACATTTGGCATGCTAAGTAAATAACATCAAGCACAAAAGCATGACGCCTGCGTCACCAGTGATATGGTTAAAAGCAACCATACAAATTCCCTAAGGGAGACACATGAATTCTGTCGTTATATGCTAGTCTCTGTGGTAACACTTTATAACAGAATAGGAGGCAAACAGCTTTGCTGGTATTTGATGCGCAAAAGGCAAAGCCAAGGTGTATGATACCGGGATGATGCCTTGGTTTTTTATTTCCACATTACAGAAGTCAAATATCAATGAACAGCATTTTACAAGTTTATTGTAACACACTTCATGTATATCTGTTGTCTGATAAATAGCTGGCCCAATTCCCCATGGAACTTGCCCTCTAAGCCAGAGAAGTTGCAGCAGAGGTTCCATATTCTGCCTACAGACATGAATAAAACTCTCACTGAAATCAATGGAAGCTCCTTCCAACATACAGAAAGATAACGGATTCTCAGGACAGAATCAGACCTAGCATGTCATCTTTGTAATACATTCACTTTTCAGATGCATGAAGTACATATCTTTAAAACATGATATAGGACATTACAATATATCCAGATCTTAGGAAAATGTACTAAGAAGTTCTGTTGCAGAATATAATGATCATATAAGGATCACGTATGATATCTGATAGACTCATCCAGGACTTGTAGGGTAAGAAGCTTATGGCTGAGGTATCTTTAAGTTTAGCCTTTAGAACAAAACCACCATTTCAACACTGCATAACTGGTGTAAAATATTATGTACTGGAAGCTTCATTCTTACTGTCTGCTTCGTTTAAATTGTGATATTGAACAGCTAGACACCACCGATGGAGGTACAGAATTTTGGAAGCTATAAAGTCTGCACCCAATTGTTCAAGATACTCAGTACCTCATCTGTGGAAAAGATGAAAGGTAAGTGTTTTCAATAGTGGTATCTCAAATACAACTGGTGAAGTTTAGGAATATATAATATTAAACACCAAGAGATAAAAGTAAAAAGACAGCACAACACCTGTGTTTTCAGTTTTATCTTACTCACAGTATTTATTAACTCTACTCATTACGATATTAGTGATAAATAAGGTTAATGTTTTCTTTTACAAAAAATTGTAAGGATATATTTTATAGGATTAAACAATCTGAGAATTTCACAGAAACATCAGAATTTAAACACTCATAGCTCCAACTGTTTTGTCCAGCAGCTCTTCTACCAATTCAAAACCATCTAAGGTTAGTATTTAATAAAAAATAAAACCAATAATCCACTACATCAAAACTCTTGCCTCCTTTAGATTCTAATTAACACTTTTGATTGACTGTATTTGCCACTCAAATGTAAAACAAAAGTAGCTGGAATCATAATTTTTTTTCCTATGAATCACTTGACAAAAGGAAGTAATCCTGACCAGGATGGAAAAAGCTTTGTCAAACTCTTATGCCTATAAGAGCTATCTGCATAAGCAGACCCACTGAACTCCAGGGAACCTCTTCTGTGAGTGAGGGTTAATAGCATGAATTAAGGCTTGTAGGATTAGATCCCAGATTATTTATTTAAAAAAAAACCAAAACAAAACAAAACAACCAACAAACTTTTCATGATTCATGAGCCTGGGATTCGGTCCTGCAGTTCTTTACCCAGGCAGAACCTGTATCTATATCCCTCCATAGTTAATTTCCTCTTTCCAGTGGATCCAATTCACAGAGTCATCAAGTGGTGGTACAAGCTGCTCTTCAGCAATTCAAGGAAAAATTGTAGTCCCCAAAGGATAGTAGGTGGGGTTCCAGCTCATAAAATACAAGCTTAGCTACATGGACATTTTGCAAGAAACATTTCTTTGTCACACCTACTAGGCTCTTCAAATTCAGTCTCTGAGATGAGTCATAGAAAAAACCCACAGAAGTGTTGTGAAAAAAATGACAAAGCTTAGTTGGAACTAAAGGCTTTTTGTGTGTGTTTGTGTGTGTGTGTTAGGTTAGAATGCAACATTACGTATCAGTACATTCTGCCAGAAACCATCCTCCTGGAAACTTCGAAACTTTAAAAACACTCTCAGTCTGCTTTCCCTACCAGCAACAAGGAGAAGTAGTGTCCATCCAGCACAGCTGTCTGTACCATGTGCATCATCAGAAGTCATAGTGTTCTAGCACAAACGTTGTGGGTGCAGATACTGTATACTAGCAGAGAGCTAAAACTTCTGAAGCTGTTGTCTGTAGCTCCTAGGAACAGCAAGTATGACAGGTGCAAAACCTATATTGGAGGCAGAAGACTCTTCAATTTGATTGAGACCAGATCTTCCAAGAGGAAGAATTGCTGTCAAGCCAAAATGATTCTTTCCGCTCAAGAAAGCAATCTGCCCTTCCTAAAGACTCTTGACTAATAGAATCCTACACATTATGTCACATCCTCCATGGATTCTGGTAGTTGTTAAAACCACTGTAAATATTTCCACGTTTGCCATATCACTTAACCTTGTAATGTGCCTTCTTTGATCTGTTGAATAAAAAGATTCCTTTCATCTTCAGGTGTCCTTCCGTTTTGTGCCCGAACTATACAAGTGGGCCTGTGAAGATTTAGCATATATATCAAATGCTGCTTCTCATTCTTTAGCTCTTCGATCTGGGCTTTTAATTCTGCATTGATAGTTTCCAGCTTTTCTGATTCCTAGTCACAAAGGACAGACACAACTATTAGACTGAGTAGTTCAAACAGTTAATTGCAATGTTTATCTAATAGTTGCAGTCTCTTATTGGTGGGAAAGTATATGGCTAGCAGAGAAAGAAATTGCATGTTCTTAGCATCCTGTAATGATAATAGTATACATCCACCAGTAGATAAGTCTAAAAACCAGATTGACTGCAACCTTCTTTGGCCTTTAGAGAAGTGTAATGGACATTGAAAAGCCAAATTCAGACACGTAGACACTTAGAATGAGAGGTATCCAAAGCATTACTGCTATTTTCTGCAAAATTATTCTGAACTTTCAGGGTCAAAAATTGACACAAAATTATCTATGCTTCTTATTAACTCCCTGGAACATCATGTCACACATCTGTAAACCCATGTGAAGCTAACAAAGTAAGGACACAGATTTTTTCCCTATATAGGAATAAAGACAGGCCTGATGCTGATCTAATATAGTTGTGTGTCATGGCAGAGAAAGTGAAGACACAACTGGGGTCTTAGGACAGAGAATTCAGGGGTTACTATGCTACTCATTTGGTAAAGAAGTCAGAAATTGTCGGTGTTTGCAGGCTCCTGGTCTCCACAATCAATATGACAAGAAATGACATTTTACTTCTTTTTGTGTCAGTGTACACATTCAAATTAATGTTATCCCCACAGACAAGATCGGTCACTGAAACAGCAATTTCTTTTCACTCCTACCATGCTTTCACTTATTGCAGTTTTAACCAGGTTTTGTTTTAATATATAGCATGGTTTGGGGTGGTTTTTTTTTTGGTTTTTTTCTTTAATAACTAATGTTTTGAAGGGTTTACAGAGTTTTGGGTAACACCTTTCTGTGTTTCCTACTATGACTGTACCCCATGCTATCTGTTTGGATCCTGGCAGGTTGACAGAGCAAGAACAATTCAAGCCAGTCACTTACTTTCTGCAAACATTCTGTTTTTTCCTTCTTTTTGTTTCGGCACTTTGCAGCAGCAATTTTATTCCTTTCCCTTCTTCGCTTTTTTCTTTCATCCTCTTCAGGAGAAAACTGCCCCATAAAAACAGATACACACAATCCATAAGATGGTGTAAATATGCAACTTGCGTTTTGATAACTTCTGCGTTTTTAAAGGCAACACGGATAGTGTTGTCAGTGCTCACATCGTGAGTTCCATAAGAATGTGATTCTGATCTGGCTTGCCATACAGTAAAATGGTAGTAACTCCATTAGAATTGTCAAATACCTGACTGGAGTTTGGATGGATGTAATCCATAGGATGGCTCATTTTAAATCGATGGTACTCAAAAAACTTGTCAAGTGTCTCTCCAAGCTGACTCCTACACCTCCATCTCTCCTCCATTGCCCAAGGAAGAAGAGGAACAAGGGGCATGGGGAGCAGAGGGGAGGATGTGTCATGAATGAGGCAGCGAGAGTGCAGTGAACTAAGGGCAGCACCAATATTAACACACTCCTTCAAGCTTTGGTTTGTTTCCTGTGGAGACTCAGATGAAGGTGTAGCTATTTCCCTAAATTAACCTATTTCTTCATTTTATAAGAGAAATGTTTTTCCCAATTAGACAATTATCTTAAAGTAAAACCTAGTATGGATATAACATGGCTGTATCTGTCGTAGTCTAGCCCATGTGGGTCTTACTGGACTGTCCTCAGTGAAATAAAACTTCAGCAGTGATTTATTCCAAGTTCAGCCACATGTAGGCAGGGAAAGCAGATTAGCACTTGGTCTAATCACTGTAAAACATAGTCCTTAGTCCATAATCAAAAACAAAATATCCAACTATAGGCCTCAATGGAAATGAGAAATACTGGAGGGTTTCCCAGAAGCACTTAACAGAAAGCCAAGCAGCAGGCTTAAAAGGATGAAGTACGGTGGAGAGGGTTGTCTGTAGCTGATATAATTACTGGCCTTGTGGTGAAACTTTGTTAGAGAATTAATCATTCACACTGAAATGCTATTTAAAGAGCCATACCTCTGTTTTCATGATTGATGTTTCAATTGGCCTTTCAGAAACTGTCACCGTGTCCAATGTCGAAGACATCCTGTGCGACTGACGCTTATTCTGAATGGCGAACCTCAGTTCCTCTTTCACCAGTGGGGTCAAATTTGTGAAATCATCAAACCCCAGTGACCCTGCAGGGGACAAAGTGGGAACAATTGCGGAGGCGCTGACTTCCAATGCAGATACCTGGCCTGAGTGTTGGACCATCATTTTGCTGGAAGGTAAAAAGAGATAATAATAGTTTTTCAACAACTTTAGAAAGGCAAATAATATCTCCTAGAGGTATATTTAATACGATGAATAATATTTTCTTTCTTGCATTTCTTCAGTCCCCGTTCCCCATCTACCCCAGTCTCTCACTAGAGACAAGCAGTTAAGAATTAGTCACTAGTAAAGACTTCTACTTCATGTTAATTTAAAGTTAGCTTTTAAAAATAGTAATAGAATTAGCACATCACATAATTTCTAGGTCTTTCTGAAACTGAATATTGAAAAAAATTATGTGTATGTATGTATACTCTGAAGTTTTAAACTGGTATTGTGTGGCAAATGAGAACTAAGTGAATAGGAAGAGAAAGAGAATAAGGAACAAAAATCAGAAAACAAAGAATTTTTTTTTTTTTAAGCACAGAAGGAGCTTAAGAGTATCTCCATCCTCAGAGCTATACCACCACAGATTGCAGCTTCAAATGGACAGCGTACCTTGATCTCAGCTACATTTAGGCAAAGTTCAATGAGTTCTACTAGAAGCTGAAGTTTGCTAACCAAGACAGGATCTGTCACAAAATTGTCATTCTCAGTTTTACACAGAGTTGTAGATTTGGTTATAAACTCCTGGAAAATTGTTGACAATAAGAGCCGGCAAAAAGTAAAAGTCTATACATGCTCTGGGGCTTCAAAGCACAGGCTGAGTTGGAGATTGAGTCACGAAAAACATGAAGCAGTTCGCGCTCTTGTAAAATATGAAAAACTGTCCTCATGTGCCCTCACGAAGAGGTTTGAAATTCTTAAATATTTATGGTTAGATATTCTGCTGATATAAAATAGCGTGACTGAAGAGACTTCAGGGGAATTATGAAAATGGACACCCATGGAGGAACCTAATTTCTAGTAGTTTTCTGAAGAAAACCCAACAGTGCTCTCCACTTTCCTCTTTTTAGTCATTCTTAATTTTTTTTAGCCAGTTTGAGAGGGAGAGAGGCCCCCTGTATACTTTGTGAAAACTTGTCACCCCACTGAGGGAAAAAGAGGCAAAACTCAGCACTCAGCTGTCCAACATCATGGGCAACCTAGCTAGCTGGTGCACACAGCTCTGTACAACACAAACCATCTCTCACCCAGAGAATGTCAGATAAGGGGTCTGGAAGAAAGCTGAGCACTTTCTGTGGGTAGTCCAAGGGACAAAAGTTGCAAATCCATAAGAAAACAGATTGTATTATCTCCTTTATTCATAAAGTGACTTATGTTAAATTGGATTTTATTGGTTTTCCAGCTTTCTTTGTTGTGTAGGTTCTTGGGAGTTTTTTTATAGCTATATGGGTAATTACAGTATGTGTTATCTACTCTTGATTAGAACTGTAATAATTATAGCAAAGTCAACTGTAATTAACTTAGTGCAGGTAAGTAAAGAGTTGCCTGTGGGTAAGTCAAATGTCCGCATGGTCAACCCAGAATTGTACCGTTCCCTGTACACTACTTCTGTAACCCAGCAAGAAATGTCTGGAGTCACGTGCCTTGACAAGAAGATAGATTTTGCTCAGGGATATCTAAAAATACACTGTAAATCCACACTGGTGCAAATGAGAATAGAATCTAGTTCATCGCTAAGTGAGGTAAACATAAAAATCTGAGGACAGTGAAAGGCCAGTTGGTAGAAAATACCATGTCCAGCTACAGAGTCTTCCTCACTTCTTCCTCACTCAGTCACCACAGAAAAACTGAACATTTCCCAGAGTCTGGGGTTGAAATCCTAAACCCACTGAAATGAAGAGGACTTTTTCTGTCGACCTCAATGGGGCCAGGATTTCACCCGTAGTTATTAAAGATGAGGAAATTATTTGGAACAATTTGTTATTCAGAAAGACCTTGGGAAATTTATGTAATTCTATTCAGAAAGCCCCTGCTCATGAGTCACATTTAAAGTACTGATACGGTTTAATCCTATAATCTCAGAAAGCTAGCAGTTACTCTTTTCCAACAAGTCAGAAACAGCCCTGTAATTTTCAGCTGAAGTCCTCCCAGCATTATTTACCATTTATCAACATTCAGCCATTCAACTCATTTAGACAGACTAACTCCAGAAGAACTGAACCCCTCATTGCTAGAGACATTTCAGTGATTTTCACTGAATGGGTCTCCTTGGCTGCCAGTGATGGCTTCATTCAACAAAGTTAATTCTGTGTAATTCGATCAAACCAGGAGTCTTAAATTAACAGTAAAATTGTTTCTCCAGCCTACAAAATATTTAATTGGGCTAATTATTTTTCGAGCTCTGGTGGTTTATTCAATTATTTTTTAGTTTAGGTGAACTTTTAATTAAGGTCAGCAGCGGCACCAGAGGAAACCAAGAATGTTCGTGCCTGAGAAATTGCATTAATTGTGTATTTCTACTAGTTAGTGCTAAGTGTACTACAAGCACCACCAAAACCCTACTATAAAGTCTTCAGGTACTTTCATACATCTGCTACTGGTTTCAAAAGAAGGAGTGGTAGGCTGCCCGCGCGGAGGGGAAGCACGGAGGGGGAAGTGTCCTTGACCATAGAAACTTGCTGCTCTCCTGCCTGAACTGACCTTCCAGACATCCTGAAAGGCATCTCTATTTACTCAGACTTTAGGGAAGGGAGGGCCTACCAGGGAGCTGAGGCTTGTGTAGGGATTTCTGCCGTGAGCTGAGTCCCATTTTGCAGAGCTGTTTGCCACCAGTTTGCTTTCCTGGAGCTCGCTCTGGCTTCTGGGCAGTACCTAGTAGGGTAGGCTTCCAGTCTACCACTGGGATTGTTAGGAACCACCATGATACAAATAACAGAAAAAAATCAGCCTTATGTCAAAGCTACTTGGTAAGCTAAATATATTCCCTTTTCATAACAATGTGGTAGATGTTTTCCAATTTCTGAGGAACAAATCTGTTTTTAGAAATGTTTTACAAGAAGGAAAATTTGATTTTTGTTATTTTAAAAAATGCAACAAGTTGCCCTTCCTTTTTCCCAGTTTTTGTACAAATTGTACCTCTGTCTATAACTCATCAAGAGCACTATCTCCTCTGGGTTTGTAAAGGCTGGGGAAACAGTATGAATAAGAGTATCAAGCTTTAAAGCGTGATTACATCTGGGCCTTTCTGATACGATCTCTGTTTACTTTGTCAGACCATACACACAGACCTGGGGTCCAGGCTGCCTCGAGCAGTTCTGAAGTTACTGACATTTTGAAGGTGCTGAACATTTCACAGACCTGCACGGTAAGGGCACAGCTTATTCCCAGTGTGAGTTAGTACTTCATTACTCGATCCTCAGTTTTGGAATTCTCCAGAGAGAATAGATTTTCTATTAATGGTACCCTCCCAATTCAGGTAGATTCAAACAAATGTATTAGTTCCTTCTCCCCTTACTTTTTGTTTGTTCTTTCGCTGATGATTCTATCTGCAGTGAACTCTTACCTCTCATCTGCCAATATTCTAAACTCAGGACATACTTCCTAGCTGTGCATTTCTATTATTTAAGGGTTTTCTTGTTTAATATTAATGTTAAAAGTGACTACTTTCAGTCTTGTCTTGTTTGCTGAACTGCAGATGGCTGACTGTGCCTCTTGGTTTTATTTCTTCATATGAATTCCTTTTCCTCTGGTGCTGATGCAATAAACCCCAATAACCATTGAGGTTAATCTTAAACAGCATTAAGAGCAATTACAGTTCACAACCTCTGTGCACGCTGGTTGACCTTAAGCTTTCTGACATCCCACATCATTCCCGAACCATTTTGTGCTGCCTTCCAGCCCCTCAAATGCTGTTACTAGGATGAAAATCGATTTCCAACAGGAAACTCGTTCTCCGAAACAAGTTTGCTGTTGTGTCACGCCTGACTTGATTAGGCAACAGTTTAGCAACTGATCTCCTTCGTGTCAAGACACGGGGACAGAAAGAAAAGTGCGCGCCCCTGGCTCGCGCCCGGAGTCCCCGCTCCGTTGATGTACGGAGGATAGGTCCCCACGGCTCTATCTACGCGCGGCGGCGCGGGGTGAGCGACGGCCCG